GGAACTGGCAGGCAGGACAGAAAAGTCCAACTACAGGGAAGATATGGGATGAGTTGAGAGGGAGGAAAAGTCAAAATACAGTATATGAAAAGTTTTAGTTATACAAGTTCTGTATAAAATCAAGCTAACAAAACTCCCACCAATGGGAGAGAGGCTCAGGAAGTCTCAACCCTATCTGAGGAGCTGTTGGCAACAGATGGCTCTGGAGGAGGGAGCACAGATTTTCAAGGATGGGGCTCCACTGGATGCCCCCTCCACACCCATACAACCATACCCACACACATACAGGTGGAGAGAGAGGGAGGAGGGGGAGAGGGGGAGAGGGAGAAGGAGGAGAGAGGGGGAGAGGAAGGAGAGGAGGGAGGAGGGAGTGAGAACACCTGACACCGGGAGGGAAGGTGGTGGAGGGAAATAGGGAGGAACTGAAGGGGGATGGAAGCTGGATCTTGATCCAGACTCATTACATGCATGTATGAATATTAAATAAAGACATTTAAATAAACAGAATCTGAGCTCTTCTACTCATTCTTTTTTTTTTTTTTTTTTTTTTTTTTTTTTTTGAAAGAAAAGGATAGTCGTTTATTCAATGTAGACACATTGGGAGGAGGATCAAAGAGGTCCAGTTTCCCCAGCTCCAAATCCACCTTTGGATTTCTAATATGAGGTTTTATTTTTTATTTTTTTTTTTTGGGGGTAAGGTATAATCTTTATTTGTACTGAAGATAATATTGAACATTGGAATTATTAATCAATCACATTGGATTTACAAAATGCTCTGAGTTTAACTGTGGAATTCATTGGCATTGAATCTATCACGTCTCTGAGGGAGTTGAAGATTAGTTAGTTATAGTTGAAGGTTAGTTAGTTATAGTTGAAGATTAATTAGGATAGAAAGTGAATTAGATACATTTTGGACTTAACAAAATAGGATAGATAATGAAATTATTTTCTCTGAATTTGTCAAATACAAATGGACTAGACATTGTTTAGACATTTATTACTTGTATATATTGTATATAGTCATTGTACTTTTGTATATAGTTTTTCTTTTGTTAGTTATAACCTTTTTCTTTTTTTTTCCTTTTTATTAAAATAGAAAAGGGGAAAAAAAAAGTCTACTCATTCTTTTTAAAGATTTCTTTCTTTTTGTTTTGTTTTGTTTTTCAAGACAGGGTTTCTCTGTGTAGCTTGGTGCCTGTCCTGGAACTCACTCTGTAGCCCAGGCTGGCCTCGAACACAGAGATCCGCCTGGCTCTGCCTCCCGAGTGCTGGGATTAAAGGCGTGCACCACCATCGCCCGGCTAAAGATTTCTTATGTAGTGAGCTATAAATCAATAAAGTTAATTCAGTGGGGGAGGCGGTATATATATATATATATATATATATATATATATATATATATATATATATATATATATATAACATCTGGCTGTGATGTTAACCTAGAAACATGAGTAGTGTACACTGTCCTTGGTCCAACAGCTGAAAGAATATGCCAGAAAAGTTAGTGCTTACCAGCTTCATCCTGGCCTTTTCTGAAACAAAGAAACACCACAAATGCTATAGGAAAGCTGAAAGTCTAATATTTATTTTCCCAGGTTATTTATTTCCCCAAATCATGGTTTTGAAAAATATTTTCTATGTTGAACTCAACATCTCCTCCACTCAACTCTCATTCAGTGACATCATCAGCTAATAAAGCCAGACTTCCTGGAGCAGCTGGCTGCTTTCTCAACTACCATCATGATCATCAGCGGGAAGGGAGGCTTACCAGAGGGGACGCCTTACTTTTAAACAACATTTTATTTAGTGGAATTGAAAAACTTCAAGAAATGCAATGAAAAAGAAGAAAGCACATGCTCTTCGAGTAGATTTCCACTTCTACAGTTTCTTTGGTGTCTTGAGGACCTAGAATAAAAAAGTTACGTCCCCACTTCTCTCTAGCTTTGAAAGGCCACCTGTACACATTTTTGTCCATTCTTCTCTCATCAAGTCATTTTGAAAGTCACACACACAGCACATAAAGTAGACATCAGTCTAAGATGTGTGCCATCCAACTGTTATGTAAAAGGATCCATGCTATCAGTCACTCTGAAATGTCACCTGCAATTCAACATCCTAGGACACAGGCAAGAAAAGGCATTTAGGTTCAAGACCTTGCACAACCCCTAAGTGGCAAACCCCACTTCCAGCAAATTTCTTTTAGAACCAGAATAATAGCAGACAAACTAGTGACAATTCCCCAAAGGAAAAATCTCTCTCTCTTTCACAGGCAGTTTTTAATTTCCTCCAGAAAACAAAGTCACTTAGTAAAAGTGGGAGGGCAATCTTACAAGAAGGGGCTTCAGGGCTGAGTGAAGGTGACCTCTTCTGAAGTTTGCAGCTATGGTTTAAATTGACTTAATTTTTGTAACAGTTTAGGTTTTAAGTATATTTACAGATAAGAAGTTCCCATCCCTCCCACACCCCCAACCCCCCCGCATGCCTCCTTTCCCTTGTACAGTCACCTGCTGTGTCTGTCACACTCAGTGAGCATGATATGGCAGGCTTCACTTAGATTTCCCTGAATATTCCTTTTCTAGTGGGAATATTTTCATTGTATTATTATTGTTATTGTTTTGGTATGTAGTTCAAGCTGGTCTCCAACTCATAATCCTGCCTTAGAAGCAATTACAAGATCACACTGTGAGCCAGTACATACAAGTTACCATACTACATTTTGCTTGAGATAGTCTCACTATGTAGCATACTCAGGCTCTGGATTTGATCCCTAGTACTGCAAAAGAAAGACAGGGGTTAGGGAGATGGCTCAGTGGACAAAGCACCTGCTGCCCATGGGTGAGGAACTGAGCTTGACTCCCAAGTACCCACATAAATTCAGACCAGGGCATTCATAGGGCAAGCCAGTTACAATAGTTGAATCAGTGAGCTCCAAATTCAAGGAAGATATTCTGTCTCAATACATAAAGCAGAGAATGATTGAGAAAGACACCACACGATGTCAACTGCTGGCTTCCACGTGTGTGCGCATGCATGTGAACATGCATGCACAGCACAAACACATGCATGCGTATAAAAGAAAACAAAAGCAAAGCTAGGTCAGGTGACACCTTTTCCACATTCTCTAGGGAGGTTGCGTCACATCATTGCTACATTTTACTTTCCATGCTGGGATGGTGTAACCTCCAAAATGGTTATGACTTCATATACTTACTTACTATCAAACAAAAGTCAACTGAAAGTTCTTAAGTTTCTAGACAGTCACCTGGATGCATTTAGGCCTGTTTATGTAATTTATTTGAATCAGGGTCTCATTCTGTAGCCCAATCTAACCTTGAACTTTTGATAATCCTCCTGTCTTCACTTCTGCATGCCCCTGGGATTGCAGGCATGAAGCCACCACACCTAGCATCGTATTCTTAGGAACATGGAAGAGTTTTGAGATTTGTGGCTATCCATGGAAGGGTATCTTGACTCTAATCAAAGTCTCACAAAGTCTTGCCCCCAAAAAGGAAAGTGAGAGAAAGAACAGCTTTCTGGGATTTCATTCTAAAATTGACACTTTGTATCCTTTTATGACTCCACAAATAATTCAACCATGTGTTTTACTGAATCATGCCAAATGGAGACATCAAGAGGGAATTCTTTGTTAACCTTTCTCCAGGGAAATCAGGACTTCTGCATGTAATGGATTCAAATCTGTCTTAGTAGTTAGCAATTAGGATAGAAGGCCATGTTTGAGGCCAATGACATACCTTCCAACTGTCAGTAGTTACTTCTTTCTCACTATTTTAGCTCAACAGTGAAACAACTGGGAGCATAAAAACTATAAATTCCTACTTAAATATTCAATAGTATTATATGGTTAACCTTGGTGAAAATCTTCAGTGATTCCAAAAACTTTGAAGCTACCGTAAAAACACCTGCTCCTTCACAGTCTCCAAAGAATGCCCAGTAAGGTACACTACAAATAATCACTATGCTTTTATATTCTTGTAACTCTGTAGCAACCCTGCAATTTTTCCCAAAGGCTTCCTCAAACTCTGAGGCAGAAAGCAAACTCCCTCTGAGAGGCCTGGAAACCAGAGCAAGAGGGAAGATTATAGGCAACCGACAGGCTAATTAGAGCTCAATGTTAAAGTGGTACTTTCAAAGCAAATCTAAAAGGATTTGGGGAGGAGAGTGAGGAAGAGATGCAAGCAATTGCCAGAGACCACCACTTCCATCAGAGGGGCCAACGTTCTAAGTGAATGCTCTCAACAGCAGCTAACAGATGAGCAAGCCTCTATCTACCTCGTCAATGATTTGCCAGGCTGACTTGCAAAAGCAATAAAGTTTGATTTAGAAATTTTCATATTCTAAAAAGTCAGTAAGACAAGGTCAAGGGACTGCCTATGCCAGGCAGCAACTCTCCTGACTCCTAAGAATCGGGTATTTTTTGGTCCCAGAGACGAAGAGCCACATCCCAAGAAACCAGTGTGCAGTTCAGCAGGTCTGACCACTTTAATCCCCAGAAGTAGCCCTCCAGGGCATTGGAGGTTCACATCAAATGACATCTGTAGCTGCTGAGTCAGGTACAGTGAGAAAGTCACACAGCATGGCTGGCCGAGCTTCACACCCATCCAGCCTCAGAGCAGTGGGATCTGAGGCTGTTCTGAGAAAGTACTTGCTCAGAGATGCACTATCCCATCAGCAGCCCTAGAAGTCCCCACCAGTGATCCCAACCAACAGCCAGGCTCAGCACTTCAGCAGCAAGCTAACATTTCAAGCTCCTAACTCAGAAATGCTGGAACTGGATCACAGAATCTCTCCATCCTAATTTACAGGAGGTGATCTTGACAACAGTTCAGCATGCTGCAGGATTTACCTGCGGTCTGGCTCTGAGTCTGTCTGGGTAAAGCTATGAAACAAGCAGAAGCCCCCCACAGACTTAGTCTCTTCTTATAGAGCACCCCTGAAGTGCATGAGATTAGGGGCAGAGAAGCACTTGGATAACCTACCTGCCACTCTGGTCTGAGGTCCAAGTCACTGACTGCCCCTCGGGTTTAGTTTTATACCGTATCCTGATGGCATGAGGAAAGTCAGCAGCTGTCTGAGCCCCTGTCTTCCTGATCTGTAAGCTCCAATTGTCAGTGTCAAAGAAGAGCTCCCCACAGCCAGGAGCCTGGCTGCAGCGAGTGTAGCAGTCTAACTGCTCCCTCCAACCATCTGCAGGCAGAGCCACAAGGTCACGGACAATCTCACGCCTGAGCTTCTCAGGAGTAGTTGTAAGCTTGGGAGCCTTTGTAAATCTCTCAAGTCCTGGCACAGCAGCCACGTCCACCTCTTCTACCTTTAGCACAGATAAATCACAGCAGTCCAACACTAGCAAGAAATCCTTTCTCCCATGATTCTCTGTGTCACAGCAGTACTTTGAGCTAGAGATCTCAGAATCATGTTCCTGGTTGTCATGGTTACCATCGTTATTGAAGGCATCTTGATCACCTTTACCACAGACTGCAAATTCACTATACCCCACCTGAGGTGAATAGGTACTTGCATCCACCTCAGGAACATCGCAGGGTTCAGCTGTCCCAAATGTGCAGTCTTCCTCTGACTCCGTCTGGAAGGTTTTCTGGGTGGAACTCGTCTGTTTTTTAAATCTGTTTCCATCTCCAAAGAAAAGAACTATAGTACCCTCAATGACTCTACTTCCAAAATCCACATCCAAATCCAGTACATAGTGCTTCACAAGCATGTGGCTGGTGTTGGCCATGAGAGGCAGATCGTCCCGGGAAGGGTCCAGCTTTATGTCCATGGTGCAGTCTGCAGTTGGTGGCTTTGCTCAATCTCAGCTGTGGCTTCCTATCTCCTCTATCATTCAGAATCACAAGTTATGTTTCCACAACTTTCAGTTTCCTGGTAAAGAGAAAAATACGGTTAGATGAAATTCCAAATGAGACCCTGAATGTCCCTGCAGCTGTGGATCCTGCATGCTGGCCATCTTACCTAGCAATCCCCAAGGTGGCAGATGCTCAGGGGAGAAGAAAGGCTCATCCTTCTGACTGACAGGAAAGAAACTACATTATTGACCTCTAAGTTACTAAGGGACACAGCCCTTGTTTCAGAAAAGAGCAATCCTTATGTAAAACTGCAACTATTACGGCCTCTTGTTTTAAAAGATATTTACTATATCAATTCTAATTTTGTGCATCAAAAGGTAAGTGGTTGTTTTTCTACTGTGATTCTAAATAACAAGTGTGAATGAGGGCTAAATGGCCTCATACATTGTATTCTTTGAGAGTAATAATTTAATCCACACAATATAACTCCAGGGATTAATGTACTTTTCACATTAGGACTGCTCTCCTATCAGCACTTCCAGTAAATTACAGGAAAATGAGCCAATTTACCAGGAGTGCATTCTGAGTATTCCTTTGAGATTGTTCATGGAGACTTTTCAAATTTATAGTTAAATACTCAAGGTATACATTACATCTTAATAGCTGAAAACCCATTAACATTCTGGGTAATAGCTTTCTTGTGGCAAACAAAAGGTCTCATTTGGAAAAAAGTATGCAAATATCTATAAAAGGAAGGAGAGAAATTAAAATGCAGAAGCAGATGTTGCAATATAATGTACAAGTTCTTCAGAAAAGTTCTGAATCAAAATGTATTCTTACATGATAGCAATACAGCTAAAGGGAGAATTATTTGAATCATTTCAGACCCTGACATGTACCTGATTTCTTTTAGCATATGATGCTTTTCTTTTACTAAAAAATGAAAATAAATAAAACACAATGAGAGAGGAGAATATTTAAACTTTTGTATTTTAAAACAACCTAGAGGTATTTCTTTGTAAACTTTACTTTCTGCACAATCTCCACTGAACTTATCATTTACAAATAATAAACTTGGCTATAGCTATCACCTGCATCCACTAATGGGAAATTGCTGTGAAAGCTTATCCTGCTGGTATCTGGAGCAGTTAACACATACTGTGTATACTATTTTGTTGATTGGACTTTTTTTCTTTCTTTCTTTCTTTCTTTCTTTCTTTCTTTCTTTCTTTCTTTCTTTCTTTTTTTCTTTCTCTCTCTCTCTCTCTCTCTCTCTCTCTCTCTCTCTCTCTCTCTCTCTCTCTCTTTTGGCTTTTGGGGTAGGGTCTCATATACACTGTAGGCAACCTAGAACTTTCTATGTAGTCCAGGCTGGCCTCAAACTTCCAGCAATTCTCCTGCCTCTGTCTCCTGAGTGCTGGGATCATAGGAATAAACCATCATGCCATTGTATGCTTAAACTTAAAAAAAAAATCTTTGAAAACACACAGGGTGGGGGTGGGGTATGGAGGGAGGAAGAGAGAGAAGTAGGGAGGGACACAGACACATAGAAAGAACAATGCCTAAACTATCATAACTGAAGAGACAGTTTAGCATTTATTGGCACAGAGACAAAGCTACTCATTAGTTGACTCCAATAGACTCTCACATTTATTTTTGAAACTGTATAACTGAGAGTACACTATGACCTACAAAGCCATTTTTTATTACTGGTGTCCATGGTGGCAAAGAATAATGCTGGGCAGCTACCTCAGAGCCCCATTCTGTCAGGCTGGCTATCAAAACCATCACTGTCAATACCAAGAGGTAGTTTTCTGGTGGCCAACCATGGATGCTTCTAAAGTTTTTGAGAAGTTGGGTCTCTGTGCTGTCCAGTCTGGCCCTGGGCTCCCGCCACAGTCTTCAAATGCTACCATAGCTGGTGTCTGCCTCTCACTAGTTTGGTGTGAGCCTCACATGCTTGTGTATTTGTCACTGGCCTGACAAGCCTTCAGTTTTCTGCAGCAGACTCTCCAGTACTTTCTCTATGGATGCCACGCCGAGTCCCGCCTGCTAACCTCTCCAGTCCTTCACCTGATGACTCACTCTTAGCTGACTACTTGAGCCCCTACTCTGCTGAGATGATCATGACTCTTTGAAACGTAGTCATAATTCAAAGAACCTCCAGGTCTCTGTAATTCACGCCTCTTCCTAATGCAGAGGGAACAATATTCTTCTCAATAAAGGGACCACTGTCCGCTTTGAACCCAACTTTGGGGAACTTTTGCATAAAAATTCCAATCACGCTGAGAATTATAGGGGATACTAAACTTCCAGCACTATTTCTGGTAAAAGCTGAACTTGGAGTGTGGCTTACTGAAGGAGTCAAAGGAAAATGTATTCCAAATGAAATGCACCCACATGACCATTGGCCAATGCTGGAACAGGTCAGAGCTCCCAGAAGAGGTGGTCACTTCCTCCAGCCAGGATGTAAGGTTGGAAGAGCAGAGAACATTCTGTGGCCAGGACTGCTGCCCTAAGCCAAAGAGAACTGAGCAAAACATGCCAAACTGTGTCATGCAATGCTGTCCATCTCCCTAAGAAGTTACAGCCAAGTGTCTCTTCCCACAAGGAAGGAAATGACAGACTAGCAATCAGCATCTTACTTTACTACACTTAGACCCTTATTTCCTTTGGTATTTTTCTCTTGCCAATATTTCTTTCTCAATAATTCCCTCCTGTTCCTGACATTAGAACACTCTGAGTGCCTCTCTCTTCATAAATGAGCTACCCCTAGCCCTGTTGCCTATATTGATGTACACAGTTCTGGGGTTCAAACCTAGGAATTGACACACTACCACCACTGACTACATCTCCAGTTCTGTTTGCTAATTTAACCTGTCTTTACTTCACTGAACGTTAAAACTAAAAAAAAATTCTTTGGGCACACTCAATCTAGATGTCATTTTAAAACTGTAGACTACAAGACTCAGAGAGGTACAGCACTTTGCACAAAAGTCGGCCATTTCTCTTCTGTTTATGAGGGATGAACTTTTCCGCCTGCTAATACTTCCCTCTAGGTCACATGTGCCTCATCTGTACTGTCCAAATCACTAAATATCACTCTAAGCCTCTGCACACCCTCACCTGTCTTTTTCAATCCGCAGACTAGTAGTTAGTTCCTCTTGTGGTCTTTTTTTCTTTTGTCCTCCCCCGCCCCAGGGAGGAAAGTATTTAAAGCCACTCCCAGGAGGTAACAGACAGCACTGTCACCTGAACTGAGTGTGATTTACATAGGCTTACATGCCTATTGCACCTTGGTGCTCCATTACCTATTTCCTACTTGTGTTGGATTTGTGCATAAACTAAATCTCCCTTCTCTGGAAGTACACAGCTCTCACTGGCGTCAATCGAGGTCATGGTCCCACGTTTAGGGGAAAAAATGAACTGACTGTGGTTGCAAACGCACGCATGTCTGTGGTCACCATGAAAGGCTTTCTCAGCAAATGGTAACCATATTTCTAAGAAGTCTGCTGACTCCGGCACTTTTGGCTATCGCTGTGTTCTGATTTTAAGTGCTGGTCTGCCTCACTGAAGCATTTTCCACTTGCTGTCATAAGATACAACATGGAAAAGCCTCTCTCCCTATCAAAACTAACTGTTCATCTGGTTACCTAACTGTACATCTTGGCTACCCACTGCAGCCTCTGAAGCATGCATGCTTTGGGTTCCAATGCTTAAACATTCATCTCAGAGGATTCATGCACAGCTAATACAGCTATACATCGGAAAAGAGGCTGCCCTGCTCCCTTCAGTGTAGTCTGAAACAGCATCCTTAGACACATCCCCACCCTCCATGGAAAAATCACTCCATGTTCCTTCCAAGCTACAGAGTGATGTGTATAGTTCTTGTGGCCTTTACATTTCCTGTGCTATATATACCTTGGGGCTGACGGTTCACTTCAGGTTCACGGTCATGTTAAATGGAAAGTACTATCTACTCTAGGTTCTCCATACACACCTATGAAGCTGATACTGGAGGCACTTATGACTTTAACACATAGTTACTTAGAAAACAGGAATGGTTTGTATAAATTATAAAGTCAGGTACAAGTCATTGTCTGACAAACACCTTCCTCTGGTCTAATCATGTTTTCTTACAAAACACCTACGCCTCCTTCATGTCACATCTTTTTTTTCCCCACTTGCAATCGACTTGGGGTGAAAAGAGGAATTTCTGATTCTGTTCACTCTTCTGCACACAAGCAGGGCAGCTCTAGCTTTAACTCTGCAAGTTACCAGCTCTCGGAGGAAGGCAGCTTTATCTTACCTTGGCATGTTTGCTCTTCACCTTTTTTTTGTAAGACAAAAATTTAATAAAAATTGGTCAGTGGGTATATATGATCCATGGTGCTAGTCATATGGAGCCATCACATAAATAAACCAGAAGAGAGGGGGAAGAAAATGTTACATACTGTCATCATCTGATTCCTCTTCTTCCTTCAAAGAGTCCTCAGCCTGTTTCTCTGCTTCCTCACTTATATCTTTTGGGACAATTTCATGTTTTCATTTAATTAGTTTACCAACCAAGCTGAGCTCTAGTTCAAAAGATTTAACCTGAACTTCATCATGCACTATATAAATTATTTTTGCAACTTATTTAACTACATCACAGCAAGTCATTTCTTTCATCTGAAGCTTTTCTATTTCTGTCTTTGCAGCTTACCTGGCTTTGCCAACGGCACAGTCCCAATAACCATATCAAACACCTGATGGGTCAATCATATACAGCTGTGCACCATCATAATCACTGTAAGACCTTGACATGAACCTGCAGCCCAGAGGTCTAACAGCACTGTAGAGCGTACAAGCACGTATGTACATGGCCACTCTGTCTGCAAGATGTTTTAGAGGAGTGTTGTAGTCAAAGTTAGATCTAAAGATGGACACTTCTTCTCTTGCTATGTTTGCTACAGAATGAACATCTGCCAACAGACTTGAAACTGCCATTCCAACATGTCAATCAACATTAAAAAGTCATTTATTGGAGCCTTCTTCATAAAGTTTAGAAAGAACTAATTTTTCTACCTCAAACAC